TCGTATCAGTGCATAACGGTCTTTCTTCGGTAAGCGAGCGTATCAGACCTGTTCAATTCAACTCAGAATTCATCTGTTATTTTGCAAGTGTCTGGTTCCCTTCCGATCATAGCCATTTATTGAAACCGGTCGCCTTTCATAGAGGAGAACAAATGTCAGAAAACTTGAATGGAAAATGTGTCACAGTGGATTAGGCCCCAGATCTAGCTAGCTACCTTCGGCTCCAAGCCTCACGGGCTCGATAATTGTCAGGTCTTTTAAAGGAAGCGTGAAAAAGTTGGGAGCAAAACTTGACTCTAGCAAGTAGTCCGCATGAACAAAAATTACAAGCGGCTTCGCTTACTACCGGTTTTTAAATTTTCAGCCCGGAAGCTACTATCTATTGGGCGTAGTCAGGCAACCTTTCTCATGCTGAAAATGCCTGCGTTGACATACCAGTGATACACAATTAGTAATCAATACATCAGAACAAATATTTAGTCTACTCATAACCAAAAAATGTTCTCACTTACCTGGAGGATTGATTATCTTCACCAAGGGGGACACGGGGCTGTCTCCCGCAAAGTTGATCGTGAAAATTCCAACCCATGTTTCCGAACACTCATTCAGCCTATCGAGCGTTATAGACGGAGTAGAGACTGGAATGTGGGACGTGGCCTCATTTTGGAGGTCAACGACATTCACAATATAACGATGTCCTGGGTACCCTTTGCATTTAGAGGGGTCTTCCCAAGACACTAACCAGGCTCGACCTCCTTTGTTTGGTGGACGGACCATAACTTTAGTCGGCGTCTCTGGCACTGTATACAAAAAAAGGGAGAGTGAAGAAATTTACACATCAGGTACTAAGGCATTTTATGTTGGTTCTGAAGGGAAAATTGATCTGAGCCATTTCTAGGACAGCGCAGTAAGACCATATGTTCTTCTGGAATTATATCTCACAGCATAAGTTGTACATTTTCATCAGTGTAGAGGACTAGCTCTATATGTCCGTATTGCTTGGCTCAGGCTTGGTGCATGAAAATACTTACATTGCTGATTTTTTCCAAGTAGATCGGACAAAATGTCCACAGCTAAATGAAGGGCAGGCGTTGCATTTGGTTGATATGGACAAATAAAGATTGCAGCCCGAAAAACGATTACGCACTTGATTCATGGGATAATAGCATATGCGCGTATATTCAAAGGAATAATGATATTGCTAATATTTTGTTAATATTTCGAACAAGTGTCTTGCATCCCGTTGTGGGAAATCCTGGTTGACGGGGAGGATCACTCATTGAGTGGAAAGTGTGAATGCCTAACGAACAGGCACGGTGACTCAAACCCGTGACGTCTGGGCTAGTAGCAGGAGACTATGCCTTTTTGGCATAGTTTAGTGGCTAGCGGTTGGTGTTCGTGTGGGTATCTCAAACCGCTGATGGGCCACTCATGACCGAACGGCATTCTTTTCAGCTACTGGCCTATAAGTTCAAGTCTTTCTTTAGGCTCGTGAGACGTCCACTACTGAAGAGTCTGAACAAGGATAAAGCATTTATGCAGTGATTCTGGTGGGTGATCTTTCGGTATAGACTTA